TTATTGAAAGCTGCGCAGTATTCATTCAAGCTCTTGTTCCCCGAGTCACCTTCATGAACTCAGATGCTTGATCGCCATAAGACCGGGAGGAATATAATTTCCCCTAAAAGCAGACTTGAACTGATCCTAGGTGATTTGGGCATTAGCGGGCATAGTGGACCGATGATGACTCCACCAAATGCCACCGGCCCATGCAGTTGGTGAGATGCGACTCGATCTTTAGCACCTCACCAAGCGGGCGAGCCGGAACTTCTGCGAGAGTATTCAACCACTCATCAGCTTGTAGAGGCTCCTCAGCCTCCTTGAAGATCGAGGGTTTCGTGTCAAGGAAATCCTTAAAATCACTGTATTGATTTGGTTCCGGTCCTTGGCGTGGACCACGACCATTCCGATTCGCAATCGTACGGAGGGCCTCTGCCATAGTGCGCTGTCCTTCCGCAAGCATTGCTATCAATTCCGTCGGTGTGGGTGGTGGTGGCGGTGGAAGATCATCATCATCATCCGCACCGGTGGAACGAGTACGAGGCATCTGCACAATGCGCAACCAGTAATTATTGATGATGTCAGCACATTGGAGAGGAACAAGGTAATTGTGCCAAACTAAATTTACTGACGAGAATGAAAACTTCATACAATAAACAGAGGCAATAATTCATTCTCCAATCACCACATCATCAAGTAGATTACTAGCGCCATACGCAGTGCATTCCAACATGACAAGTTTTAAACTTAACCATTACGATACGCATCTCGAAGGGAGTGAATTAAAGTACATTACATGCCGAGTTTGAATTAAAAGAGTACATCCCACATCAGTCATCGTACTTAAGTCCATTACATCAATGACTGCAAAAGCTTAAACTAGCGAGACTTGCTAACGAACTACTCGTCGAAGTGATCGCTGTCCACATCGGAGACACCTTGGACTTCTTCTGAGTCTTCCTCTTCTTCTTCTTCTTCTTCTGCCAGGTCAGCTGCATTGTCAACCATCTGCACGTCCTCTTCTTCCTCATCAGCCTCAATCACTTGAGGTCCACCCACATTTGGATACCTTGGTATGGGGTGAGGAATAGGAAACAGACGGTTGTGCAGTTGATGGTGCTCAACCTGAAGCTCTTCAAGCTGTTCTTGTAGTGCTTGCTCCCTTTGAAAGGCGTTGTGGTTGGCCAAAATCCAACCCCGACGTCTTTCTTCTGCTAACTCTAAAGCTGCATCCCGGTGATGTGTTACACGATCCAACTCTTGTGCAGCCTCATCTCTCTCAATAGTGAGGTTCATCAGCTGGTTATGAAGCTCGTCTCTCTCGCGTGCGGTTTGACCCCACTATTGCAAGCGATAATTTGCAATACCACGAATCTCATCAACTTCTTGCTGAGCTCTCCCACATGCATTCGCCTTACGGCAATACTTGTGGGCACGCAACCTGAACTTGTGCTGAGCTTCCATTGCCTTGCCAGCTTCATCAAGCACACTCGTCCTAAATACAAACCCTGCTTCTCCCGTCGGAGTCGCAAACAAGTCACCTTTGGTACGAGTCAGGAGTCGCGAGTCCGATCAGATCGACATTCTCAGAGAACCACTCTGCCAAGGTTGTTCGGGACTCTAACCCGCCTTGGACTTATGTCAATGGCTCTCCACACATCCTTACTACCTCCAGAATGTCACCACTGCTCGCGTCCCCAGCCTGAGTTGAGCTACTAGGCTTCGCGGTCGGAATGACTTATCCGGCCAGCTAAGTGTTAGGCTGCGTTCAACATGACATGAGGACGTACAACGTATCGGTCCTTAAACGACTCAGACGGAGTCACTATGTTCAAACCTACACAAGACCCCGCCCGGTCTTACTTCATTATTCACATGGTTCTTTTCCACGATATCAAATATAGCCAACCGTGATCCACCTCATCCTAAAGCTCGCAGGTGACAGGAAATCACCTGACTTCTACCGCACTAAGCATGGCTAAGCATTTAACCCGTTCCTAAACTTAAATAGGATTCCAGTGCGATATCTGGACAAGGAAGGATATATATAATGCAGCAATTGGTTCCAACCAATTCCTATACTTAATGCATCATCAACAATAAAAGGTACTCAAAGTATTTGTAAAAAACATGGGAGGCTTAATATGCTCGGGCTTGCCTTTCGAGAACGAGGAAGGTGGTGGTCGTGGCACTCGGGCAATTCCTCCATGGCGATCGCTTGTCGGCTTCCTCGCACCTCGGGTTCCTCCTCCTGGTTGGCTCCCTCGAACTCCAGCAACGCTCACTCCTCCGCACACCTATTGCATGAATGCGCAAGATAAATATCATGGATGCACATGAACGAATGTCAGGGATGCTCGGGGAATGCACATGTTCGCTGTAGTTTGCATATTCCAACATAAGCCCTATTCAAATCACTTTACTTACCAAGTTTATACAACCTAATGTATAATTGCTCATCTTCAGTTAATGACCTAGCACCTGCACCTAAGCATATTCTCAAGTTAGGCTAACCCCTAAACAATCAACGAGAACCTTGCAACAACATACACTCAAACATTTGTATTTCAGCAAAATGAATACTATGTAGCGGTGCAGTAAACTAGCCATAACTGGAGATTTATAATTCCAAATGACATGCAACAAGATAATCTAGAAAGCTTATGAAATTGTCTACAGTTCATTTTTAGACCTCAAAGCATGATTCAACACTTTACCAAGTCGAATTCATAAATCAACAGAACTCTGTCCTTACAAGGCAGAGAGTAAGCAAAACTGGAACCTAACTTTAAACAGCTGTAGTTTCTAAACTACTGGGCCAAATGCCCTCAAATTTTGACAGGAGCTAGATAAATAATTTATCTACAACTCTTGTATTCATCACAATCACAGAAAACCAAAATATCATGGGGAACTTTCCAAAGTCCCCAGATCTGTACAGAGGGACATAATGCAAACAAATAATTATTAACTTATGATATAAACACTTACTTGGATAAAACTAACTTTACTCACATATCACACCTATCACAAGAACACCAGAAAGTAGGGTGTCCATCACCAAAACATTTCTTTTAATACCTTTCTTAATTTATTTAACTAATTAGAGGAAATAGTAAACATATATGAAAACTACACCATTAAATCTAAAAAAATTACAGTAGACACTACATGCCCTAAGTAGACTACCATAAAACTTTCACACCATTTGAGTAAGTATAACATCCTACACAAAAATGATAAGACATGATGGCTTAAAATGACATAATTAGGAAACCCTAGTGAAAAGTGTCAAGCAACAGATTTTATATTTTTCCTAGCATCCTTAAGGTACTAGGATACTCTCCAACAAATTTCATGGTCAATGGATTCATAAATAATTTACTAAAATTCACCCAAGAATCATCCAATGATAAAAGAAAATTCTATAACTCAAAAACTACACATGCACTAACTCTAAAATTTTAACCGGGGCTTCTACTAAGCAAGATTAGTTTACCCATAAATTTTCATAATTTTTGGACCACAGAAACTAAAGATATGATTTAAACAAGTTTGCATGCATTCAAAAACACATTTCAAGTTCCTATTTAATTCACCCAAAATTTCTACATAATGTGCTCAAGACATATTTTTCTTAAATACTAGACCTCACCATGATACTAACAAAATTCGAAGTACTCAATTTGGATCTACACATTTGGAGATACAAAATTTACAAAACAGCATCAAACTCTGCATAAATGAGCTATCTTTTTTAATACACAGTCATCGCCACCGGGCCCCGCATGTCGGACGGCCCAGCGTGTCAATGGCATAACAGGGACACCTGCGACGGCGCGGAAGATTTACGTAACTTCGCGGCCGGCGACCTTACCGACGACGAGGAGGGTACCTCCGTGCTCGCCATGACCTCCCGCGTCGGTTTACCTACTAACACTAAGCTCTAGCGGACTCCAGGGACGTCGGCCACGGCGCACGGCGGTTCGGCCATGGCGCGCGGGTGGCGCTCCGTGAACCCGGCGTTCGGTGGCCGGACAAGGCGCGTAAGCTTCCGGTGACCAATGCGGACCGCCTATGCTACTCGGCCATCGGCTACGGTGAAGCGGTTAGGCATGGCCGCGTGAGATCACCGACGGCGACCATGGCGGCCATGTCACGGTGGTGCGCGGTTCGGCAATGCCGCCACCTAAAGCTTGGATGGCTCACGAGGACGTTGACGAGGTCCGTGAGGCGATAAGCGAGCTATGGTTGGGACGGTGGTGGTGGTGGTGGTGGCGGCGAGCTCGAGCAAGCTTCGGTGGGGCCGATGGCGTCGGCGGTGTCTTCTTTGCGCGCTTGGGTTGTGAACGGGAAGGCAACAGAGGAGGAGTGAATGAGGCGAGCGCGCGCGGTGAGTGGAGAGGAGAGGCGTGAGCGTCGTCCACTACAAGCCGGCCGCCAAGCGCGCCGTCAAAGCCAAGTCGAGCGCGTGGAAGGCCACGCGGCGGCAACCTCCTGGCCACGGTCGGCCATGATCGGTCTGGTCGGAACGCCATCGAGCTGATGAAGCCGAATGACAGCGCCATTTGGAGCCGATGGATTTCCGAATCCTTTGATCATTAGCGTAAACTCCCTAAACAAAAGTTGAAGCCCTATGTGCCAGCTACAAAACTCATTTAGAGACCAAAGTCTAATTCGCAAAGGATGGAGAGTAAAATCATGCCAAAGTTGGCTCAATCAAACTGAAATGGCATTTAGGACTTAGAATATTTTCAAAGTGTGGATTCAGCTTTCAATAATGACTTGTGGCGTTTCTTCGCTGCGACGAAGCCACACGATTCCCCACCCCCGGGCGTTCCGCATTCGCCGCCCCACGCCCACCCACCGATTCGACACGGCCGCCGTAAGATCCCGCCGCCGCCTCTTCACTCCCCTCGCCTCGCATCGCCGCGCGTCCTCGAGGTGCGGGGGCGTGACCGGAACCAGCCGCGCCGCTCCATTGCCAATCGGATCGGCAAGTGAGGGCTGGGTTCAAGATGCCACCTCCGGCACCGGGGTCCAACGACACCCCCGTTGCAGAGCGCTGGGCCTCACTGCCCCAGGATCTGATCCGCCTCGTCTCGTCGCGCGTGCTCGCCGGCGACCTGCTGGACTACGTCCGCTTCCGGGCCGTCTGCGGCAGCTGGCGGTCCGCCACCGCCTCCCCTCGCGGTCGCGGCGTCGTCGACCCGCGCTTCCACCCGCGCCGCTGGATGATGCTTCCGGAGGGCCACGGCCTTCACCCCGGCCACCCTCACTTGCGCGGGTACATCCGCTTCCTCAACCTCGACATGGGGACCTTTGTCCGGGCCCACATCCCTCTCTTCAGCGACCACTGCGTCGTCGATTCGGTCCACGGCCTCCTCGTCCTGCTACGGGACCAGGACAGCGCCGTCCGCCTCGTCCACCCTTTCACTGGCGACATCGCTGAGCTCCCACCGCTCGCAACCGTCCTCCCGCAGCTAGGCACACTGCTGGATACCTTACCTGCGCCACACAGGGTCAAAAGGCTCGCGGAGTCAATCTGTGCTTCTGCTTCCTTCAGCGGTGGGGTCATCACCGTTATGCTTGCTCTTCATGAGGTAAACCATGTAGCCTTTGCTACGGCCCTGGACCAGCAATGGACTGTGTCAACCTGGATGTACCAATATGCATCTCCTCCACCATTGTCATTCCAAGGCAAACTGTACACGGCTTGTGACGTCGCATTATCTGGCGTATCGGAATTTACTGGCGAATGGGAATCATATGGGGATGTCCAGGTTTTCCAGATTGATCCACCTGTGAATGATGGGATGGGCTCCGGTTCTAAGCTACAGCTGCCAAAGTTGATTGCCACACTCCCAGAAGGCAACCTCGATGTTCCTATGGGTCCCGTAGAATGTGATTCAGAAATCCTGGTGGTTGGCTACAAAGATTTCGACATGCTTCACTTTGTAGTTTTCAAGCTCACGGATCTTATCCAGCAAAGGTATATCCCGATAACAAGCATCGGAGGCAATACCTTGTTCATTTCAGAAAGGAACTTGAGTGTTGCCCCTAAAGCGTTGCCTACCCCTGTGGGTGACAGTGTCGTCTGTCTTGAACCAAGGCAACACAATCTTGTGCACCAACAGCTCACTGGTGGCACCTGGTCTCCAGCAACCGATGATTGCAGCCTGTATGGTCCTGCACCTGTAGGTCCTTGTAGCCTCATCCACCTTATCTTCAGCTGCTGTATTCGCATTCGATGGTATCCATCCCCACACCCATTTCCCTACACCGTTTTGCATAATTATTCATTTTTTGTACTAGCTAATCTGCTTTGCGTTATGTGCTTGTAGTAACAGAGGGCAAGTATTCGGAAACTATTATTAGGCTCATATGGTCCAGCGTGAAGAGCAAGAGGCTAGTACTACACTCCTACTCCATCGTTCCTTTGTTTTCATTACCGATATATAGTGAACTGGTTTGGGCTAAAATTCACCAATACATTTGTTTAATCCTGCAAACAGTTGTTGTTTTACTTCCTCAGTCATTAGAGTAAGATATGGCCTAATTCAAATCCAGGTAACACTGAATAAAGGCCAGGAATTCTTATTTTAGTTCCTGTGCCGCTTCTTAAGTGGCGAATTGACATCAAGTCCTTGAGTTCTAGTTCAAATAATAAATAAATTGATTGTATGCTATTAGGAAGTTGTGAGGTGCTTTTCTGAGGTAGAAACTTTGTCCATCTTGTTCTTAGCTGCTGTCTTTAAAGTTGTTTGGCCCTGATACCGGCGGGTATTAGGTGTTTTGGTGATTAAACTTAGCTGTAGTGGATATCTGGTCTATTACTAATAGTAAAAGGCCAGGGCTGTTTTTGGCCCTTGAACTCTAAAAAAAAAGTCCATCTTGCAAATCGAAATGGTTGTTGCAGCACAAAGTATTCCCATCTTCCCCAATGATTAATGAGATTGACATGTTGGGACCTCTGTATTCCACACTTAGAGATCCACTCACACGTACCCACCGCTGAACCCTGTATCCCCTCCCTATGCATGCCGTAAGTCATGACCCTTCAAAGTTTTTTTTTGCACCTCACCAAAATCCTACTGTCTACCACTAAAAAGTTTAGGTAGAAATCTCAACCATGCTGGCTAAGAAAATCCCGAACCGTAGCATTGGTGGATTGGTTGATTCCGCTGACACCTGACAGTCGCCTGCTGACGGTGGGTGCTTGCAGGCACCCTGCATGGTTCCATCCCTACTTCGTGGCACACTAATATTTGCTCGATGTTCAAATGATGCTTTCCCAGAACTTTTGTAACACAATAAACATTTTTTTATCATAAAACAAAATTAAGTTAAATGATGACAATGCTTGTGTCACTTATGGATGAAAATTATTTGTAGGTTTAGCAACTAGCTGATTTGTCTATGTAGTATATGTTAATATGTTTTCTGCTTTATGTCAGATTATATTGGTTTAATTGTTATGATAACCCATAATACTTCCAATGCAATAATCCCTGTTTCAGGCAAAGAGTAAATAAAGAAGAAGAGAAGTAAAACATCTATAAGGAATCAACGGTGTCAGAGTTGTTGCTTACTTGAGCCGTTGTGGAATCTGCAGGTGTCAAACAAGACGAATCAATCTAAAGCCAGACCAAGAAATTTTTGTGTGTAAATTTAAGTTTAAACCGGATACAGCAATTGAAGGGCGGGCCTGGTGCAAGCGGTAGAGTCTTACCGCTTGTGACCGGAAGGTCCTGGGTTCGAGTCGCGGTCTCCTCGCATTGCACAGGCGAGGGTAAGGCTTGCCACTGACACCCTTCTCCAGACCCCGCACAGAGCGGGAGCTCTCTGCACTGGGTACGCCCGTCATGAAGTGGGCTTGATTAAAAGGCGTGGGCTTCATTCAGAGTTTGAATGCTTGCCTACTTCTCCCAACATTTTTAACCCGATGCTCGCTTAAGAAAACCATGGTTTCTGCATGATCACATCATTATGGCTGATCCCTTCTTGGAGACAAGTTATTCTACTCTCAAAGCAACTTTCTTGAGGTGGCATTTCTTTAGCATAGATTCCGCATTTTGCATTCGATGAAACTTTGCTATGATATAATCTGATGGTTTCCTGCATGATCGACTGATTTTTGCTATCCTTGCATGATCGATACAATAATCTCTGTTGCAGGCAAGGAGTAAATAAAGAAGAAAAGTAAAACATCTATAAGGAATCAACAGTGTCAGAGTTGTTGCTTACTACCTCAGCCGTTGTGGAATCTGCAGGTGTCAAACAAGATGAATCAATCTATGGACATCAAGAAGCCATGCCTTTTTTTTTTTGGGTGTAAATTTGAGTTTAAACCGAATACTATGTTGCTACCAGCCAGGGCCCAGGGGTGGGGAGCATTTCAGGGCAACCTTGAAAACCTCGTCGCAAAACTCTGTTCGGGCTCCCGGCGCGAACTGAACCCGTGTACGTAACTGTTTATCCTCGTATTAATATAAACCAAGCCGATCAGCGGATCTTTGTCGTATATTGAACCTATGCCACGAATGTGCACGGTTGCAGAATATCAAGAGGAGTAGCAAAATCTCTATCGTGCGTGAGTTACGAGTGATGGTTGACGGTGATAGACGCACCTTGAAATCCTGAACTACGTGTGTAGGCTACTCCAGGTTAGGGGCCTGGAATCTGAACTTTGACAGCGCAAAAGTAAAGTTTTAGTTTTCTGTTCTCTGTCTGATTGATGGGACATCCGAGGCCAACTTAATTAATAAGCATGAAAACAATTATCACCAATGTTAACGAAACAAACAGCAAGACATCATCAGACTTGCCAAATCATAGCACCAAGTCTTTAATAAGCCACTCATGACCGGATTACATCACAGAAACGTAAATGGACTCTTTAATGATTGTATTCTACTTTATTCTATTATTTTTTTTCTGGAAATTTTATTTTATTATTAACTCAGCCGTTGGCCATTCAGACGACGACACAGCACGTCACAGGCCCACTGAAGAGAAGAGTACATCAGTGTGTTTTAGGACATTTTGGGCCCAACTCTACTCGACGCATGTTCCTGCCTTGATGCTTGAATCAATAAAATACTCTTGCTTTGGCTGATTTCGGCACCGCAACGGTGTGGTCAGTCTAAGCACAGCGTTGATGGTGGAGACCGTAGAGGGCCTCGTCTAGGCTCTTGATGCCAACAAATTTTTTGATTACACGGCCTCGGTGTTGTCGCGCCAGGTTCGGTCGCTGCGGCCATACTTGTCCCATGCGAGGAGCGCGCATGAGGTCCTGGCCCATTGGACGAGCAACTTGATGGCGCCGGCCTGGACCACCTGCGGGGCTCGAGAATCCCAGAGATACTGTAATTTTTATGGGCTGCAACCGCTCCGCCTCACACGCGACGAGGACGAAGAAGGCGAGCGACACCTTAGAGCAGTATAACAGCAGGACGTAAGCTGTCCAAACGACGATACAGAGGAGAGAGGAGAGGAGAGGAGAGAGAGAAAAAGCAGGTTGTAAGTTTACAGTTAACTTAGACATAAGAAAAAAAAAACTTTGTGAGAGATATGATCATGTATTAATAGTGAAGAACTAACTACTATATGGATGAGCTGAAAGAAAGCTGTAAAGAAACCTTATAGCCAGCAGCCGACTATATTATTAGTCTTGCTCTTAAGGCGTCGTGAGTGGGTCACCAGTAGCTACACCGTACCAAGGAGTAGTAGAAAATTGCTATATATAAGTCCAACCTGTGCTCAACAACCCAGTGTTCGACGCAGGAACACAGCTTCTCGCCACCTTGTCGCCACTAAACGTGCACGCTGAGAGGAGGCGGATGGCGACACTGTCGATGGGCATGCCTCCAGCTGCCACCACAGGGCTGTTGACAGTAGAGAAGATAGGTATCGGTTTCGGCGTCGGGATCCTCGTCACTTTCGCAGTCGTCGGAGTCTACTTCTTCACCCGACGCCACCTGCAGTCGGAGGAGGTCATCGACGATGTCGAGCTCGCCCCCCGTGCAAGCAGCAGCACCACCACTCGCGGGCGACGTATTTAGGATGAAAGTTCTGGGGGGTTGAAGTCGTCACCTTCAATCTCCAGCCTCTTCTCCTCAAAGCAGCCATGACAAAAATTCTTAGGGAGCTCCATAGGATCAGCGGCGGTAGGGGGGCTTAAGCCCCCGCTTGCCCCACCGCTAGATCTATCCCTGCTCAGGACATGATCGTCCACTCGTCTCCCTTGTCCCTCGGCAACGACGATTCTGCCAGTAGCGCTGAGAACTACTCACCGTAATTGTTCTTGAAACCACCGAGAGGTACATATTGTCGGAGCGTATGGCGAGAGTGAACTGATTCTCCCCCTTGGTGTCCTTCATGAACACGTTCAGCCAGTAGGCGCCCTTGCCATGGCTTCTGCTCCTCCAAGACGGGATGCTTGTTGATCCACTTGCCGGAGGTCGCCTTGGTGGTGGCGTTCACACACGTTTTTGTCGAACGCTACCATGAAGGCGGCGTACCCGGCGCTGTCGGCGGCCTAGACGTCCAACGTGGTAGTCAGCCTGCACGTACGACATGCATATATACATAATTATGGTACGTACTCCCTCCAATTTCCTAAAGGACGTCGTTTTGGATAGCGACACGGTCTAAAAAAAATAAATTTGACCGTTATCTTTTGCTATAAAATATTTATAAAATATATTCAATATATACTTTTATGAAACTACATTTCAAGATGAATCTACTTACATCACTTTTATATTTTCAAACTCAACCCAAAAGAATTTATTTGTAGTTAAAGTTTAAAATGTTTGACTTAATAAGACAACCTCAAACGACATCCTTTAGGAAACCGGAGGGAGTAAGTATACAGCATTTCATTCATTAACAATAATTGCACTGTACATACTCACTGGTCTAGCAAATTAAGCTGATTAGTTAAGTTGAGCTAGCCCAGCTGGATAACTTACACGTTGTCACCGGCGCAGCTGGGGCACACAAGGAGCAGCACCACGACGCCCACCAGCAATGGCAGCAGGGACCGGACGACACACTCGGAATTGAAAAGACTTGGCCATCTTCAGTCTCACCACCGCTTGCATTGCCTACGCTAGCTGCTACCTCCTGGCTGTGTGCGTGATCTGAGACTGTGTGATGCTGCTGTCTCTCGATCGATCTGATGATCCAGTATATAATAGTACTACCGGCCGGTGCATTGGCCTTTGGTGTACGACGTAGATAGATCAGTGCGTGATAGAGACTAGTGCCGGCCGGTGTGCAGTGCTCTGGTGTGGGTGTATGTGTGTTGTAAGTTTGTAACCCGACATCCTGCGCGCATTCCCGCTCATCCGCTGCTTTTAATTATTAGCCCT